ATGAAAAAAATATAATATATATATATGTATATGTGAAAGATATGGCGAGCTGGCTTCAGTGTATTGTGCTCGACAATGGATCGAGCAAGCATCAAGTTCTTCGACGGGAGTATTGTAAGGTGAAATTTATGTAACGCGTTAGGGCGCGCGCATTTGTTCTTCCACTCTCAAGCAAATTTTTGATGAAAGGTGTTCGCAGGTATTAGTGGAGCAAACCATATGTCATGACAATGGCGAATGTTTTAATTAGAAGAAAAAGAATGCATGAAAAGGCTTCGCTAACTATAACTTTACATGAACTAAAAACGAACATATTAGGAAACTTTTGAATTTTAAAGTTCATTTATTGAATATTTGTATTAGCCAGTTGGGAATTCCGTCAACTGTTTGGTCATTCGTTGTAAGAGATGATTCAAAATATTTGAAAATTGGCATTTCCTTAAGGATAGTGCATTTATGAATGAATACTGAGAAAGGAAAGGAAGCAGCCCATGAATATTAACTCTTATTTCGGAACGATGTTCCACTTTCAGAGAATTGCACTGATATGCGCGAATAGAATAGGATGATTTTCTTTCGAGCAACATTATTGTCCAAAGCGCTATTTATTGAATCGGAGGAAAGGTAAAATCAATAAAGCAAGTTTGATATTTGAAGAGATATGTTAAATAAATTGATAAGCATTCTTAAGCTAATATGCATATCAGCGGAGTTACCTTGGACCAAATCCAACTTGGTTAAAACACATTCATTCAGTAGAAAAGTCTTCAAAATTGACAATTTTGTTGGTCTGAGTGTGAGGAGTTTTTTTTCCTATAGTGGAACATGCTGCACAACATTTCAAGAGTTAAACTTGGAGAGCTCTCTTCTGTAAAAGTCTTCTCAGTCCAATTCACAAACATTCTCGAGGTGGATCGTTTCAGTTAGGTCTGGTCGATGGGAATCATGATTAGTTTAGTCTCAAAGAATTCTTTCCATCTGAGAAGCAGTCTTAGAAAGTCTCCTCCTTATTTAATGTGTACTCAACCTTTCTCTCAGATCAGTGGCTCGAATTATGGCTACTTTACGAAACATCACTATCATCTCTATATTCAGTGCCATATTTCTTCAATGTTTTTAGTTTTTCTTCCTTACCGCTGTTGTTTCATGTCTTCGAACCAGCTAATGGTTTAATTTTTCTGGTATGCAAACTTCGGCAGCATTTCCAGACAATTGGAACACTTCTTGCCAGACCGTTTTCGATCTTGGTTTGAACTGTAACATGAAGTAGCCAATTTTAGTGCAGTTCTAATAACGAGCATCCTGCCATTCCAACAAAGATAACCAAAGATCTGGTTTAAATACTCTTTATCCGAAACCTGATATCTTTCCCGGTGTTGAAGAAGTATTTTTAGCAGAGAGTCTGTGTCCTTTGGGAAAACGAAGACTCCACAAGAATATCGAGCATAGAATATGTGGTAGAATCGTGTTACGCGCGCGGAATGCATTTCAGTCATTTCCAACCATATCTACTGCCTTTTGGGAATGGGAATTCTTTTAACACATAGAATTCCTCGTAGGATCTATTTTTCACGATCAACTGCTTATAGAGCAAAAGAGATATGAACATCGATGACGAAGACATTTCTTTTTTTTTAAATAGGATCTTTGTCGGCTGGCTAATGTGACCAGACTTAGTCGATGTCGTTCAACTTAAAACAATCATGTATCAGCTCTGAACTACCCAACTGCCGAAGTGATACAATATTGCAGTAGTGTGGTGACTGAGATAGTAATCCTGTCTCTGGAACATTCAACTATTGTTTCGAATGCTCCAGTAAGCCCTGACTTCCACTCTTCGCTCGTTACACTTTTAATGGTTTTATGTTCCTATCAATAGAAAAGATAAATATGACTACTTGAAAAAAAAACCACCGCTTACCAGTTTGCAATTACAAAGCAAATTTTCCTCACTTAATGACTCTTTGATGCAATTATTTTTTAATCTTTTGGATTAGCAAATCGCCTGAATTTTGATTTAAAATTCGATCTAAAAAGAAAAATTAAACGGTTTCAAAGAAGTGCCCAAAGAAAATTTCTTAGATTTCTTTAAAGAGCATTTGCTGAAATTTATTTTGGCATTTTCTTATTCGTTTAAAAATAAATCCGTTTCAACGAAAATATTGGTCGATTATGAATTTTAAAATAAATGAATGACAATAATTTTTCTTTTTTCAATCGATTGGCGATAAAAATGACGAAAAATTCGCCGTTGAGAACATTCCAGGCGTTACTTTAAGACTTTTTTATTGCATATAATGGCAGAAGTACCAACCAATTTTTATCGGAGATTTGCTCAAATCATTTTTTGATTCAAAAGAAGAAATAATGCAAAAAATAAGATGTAAATGCATAAATATGTAAAATATCCTAAGATGGTCGCTGTCTTCCTGAGCGAGTAAATCTACCATCAAAACGGAATCCGAGCGGTTGCAGAGCGTCAACACTCCAGTCAGCTCTTAGTGAGCCGGAAAAAGCAAAATGAGATGCCAACTGCTCATTTGCTCTACTCGGGAGTTCACAAATTATTCGAATAACCTGCTGAGGTCTAAAAGAGAAAATGCCACAATTTTACTCGACTCGAACGTGAATGAACAGAAATCCGTTGCAAGAAAAAAGTAAAAGGAACTGCTTATCATTCATTAATCGCAGCGTTATGTTTGCAAATTAAAAAAATAAGTTAAATGATACAAAATAAGAAAGAGTTTTTTAGTTGGAAATGAAAAGGAGAAATTTTTTTCAGAAATTTTCTAAAGAAGTTCCTGGAAAACTAAACTAAAAAATTTAAAAAATTCCAACATTTCCAGCCGCAGAGATTAGTGAAAAGTCTCCATTTCTGCTTAGGCGATAGCTCCTATGCTTATCACTACGATTAGAAATATTCGCTAGAAAGTCCACCTGATAATAGAAAATAGAAAATCGATTCACTTTAATTGTGATCCAATTCTAAGCAAAAATTGAAATAACAAACATTTAGATGACAAGACTGTGGTATGAATGGCTTAGTGGGTTACGAAGGGGTCGACGGAAAGTTCGTAATGTGGTCCTGTGATGAGATCTTCATACACCAAGATCTCTGAAGCCTTACATGATCTACAAACATGCACCAGCAACTGAGGACTGCAGCAAACGTTTTGAAAAGAGAATATGCAGTGGTTCACGTCTTTGAAAATAGGATTACTGAGTAGCAATAGTAAGATGTATTTCCGCTAGAAGGAAATACCGTGGTTTCGGTCCTCCTTCCTTACTAGAACTAGACCTGTCCTGAAAGTTGAGGTCCAGATGGCGACTCATCCGCATTCTTCATTTATTGCCTCAGTCTCCGGCGAAAGATTCTCACTCTTCGTGATTGAAAACGGCAAAGATTCATTTTTTCCTTTTACCAGCCATTTCGGGCCTTTCCACCATGATTCATAAGTCCGTAGTTTAATTGGTGATATTCCTCTGGTTGCTACATCTACAGGATTATGTTCACTTGCTATGTATCGAAAAGATAAAATCTGCCCTTCGTATTTCTCCGACCCGATTTTGAACGAATCGAGGAAGCAATTTTGAAGAACTTTTTATCCAAAATAAAGCACATTTTGAGTCTGACCATGAAGTCATAGGTATATCTTTCAGTTTCTATTATTTTAATACGGAATATGCTCAAAAGCTTTTAATGCCTATTTAATATTATTAAATACACAAATACATAAAATTTCATTGGGAAATTTTGTTGAACCCGCAAATATTACGATCAACTTTCACACTTGCATCAAAGGAGAGGAAGCCGGAAGAAATTCCTAAAGCAACCCACTGCAGTATGGGAAAAAGGAACAGTTTAGGAATTTCAATTGGAAGCAGCACACAGGACCGAGGGATATGGAACCGAGATAGAGTGGAACTAACCAAACCGCAAACGGTGCGCATCGTAATCCAATTATTCCTACAATACACAAAATACCCTCGCATCACATTTTTTAAAAAACGAGCATAATTTACTCGTTTATCAATGTTTTCAAATTTTTTTTGATTGCATAAATCACAAGGTCACTGATTCGACACCAAAAGAAAACATTTTACGCCGCAGCTGTCACCAATTCGAACGAGTGCGCTCAATCTGAGAATAAAGAATTCTCTTTTCCTTATCTTTAACAGAACTTTTTTTCGTACCCGATGTACGATGAAAAACTTCTATTGCCCTTTTAAATATATTACTTAAAAGCATGATTAAAAAAGAAAATTTAACATTTAACTCATTTTCTCCACCATTCATATATTTCGGACGCCCTTCTTAGCCATTTTTTTACAATTCTAATAGCAAGAACCATTTCAGATTTTCATATATTGATTGAGATGGAGCGTTTGGGGACGTTGACATATACAATCATCCATAAAACAACCATCCTATTACGAATGAATCAATTCGTTATTATCCGAACATTGTATAATTTTGTATTATGAACGAAAACTACATGTGAAAATCAATGTTAAAGTCAACGAAAAGTTTATTTCTTTCTTTTGTTTTTAAGCATAATTCTTCAAAATTTAGTCCAATAAAAAAAAAGAGAAACACAAAAATTAGTAATTTATCGCTTTATATACAAGCGAATGTTTTTATAAAGAGGAAATAAGGCGCGATTAATTAATACAACAAAAGTACAATGAAATTTTATAACTTAAATAATTTAACAGATTAAGGCTACTTATTGGCAAAAAATCTTTTTTGCCAAAAACAAATTTGGCCTTAAGCAACTTCAGATTTCAATTAAAACCTAATAAAAAAAAATTCAATTTTATGAATACGACAAAAAACTACCCAGTTTGCTGAAGAGAAAACTAAATATTTACATAAATGAGACCAAAAAAACAAGCTTATAGTATAAACAACGCGCAAGTCATCCATCAGTTCAATTAAATAATTAAACTTTATTAAATTCAATTAAACTTGAATAAAGTTTTGCCTTTTCTATAATAATTTATTTTTTGGAATTAAAACCATTTTCATAAGCTCTTCGTGCAGGCTGCAACATAATAAGTTTGTCTTCAAGAGCCTAAAAATTTAACATATTTCAGAATGTAACAATTGCGATGCACAGTTACCCACAATTAACTCATACCAGTTATAATCCACAGAATCAAAAAATTCGACCTGGCAAAAATCTGACGAATATTAAATATTTTATATAAATTTTATTAATGGTTCTATTCTATTTTTGTATAAAATAAATAAATAAATACAAAAGCACAAATTCACTTTCGCTTTTGCTAACTTTTTTTAAAACCACATTTAAGATACCTGAATCGTTTTCAATAAATTGTTGATCACGGGAGAAACATTTCGAGCCAATGGAGATGGTAATGCATTAACGCGAGAACCGACGATTTCTGTATCAGTACTAAGCCTTTTTCGTCTTTGCATATCATAGGTATGATTAATCCGATCAGAATCTGAGCGAAAAAAAATTTTTTAAAGTAAGTTTTTTAAAAATTGATGAATATTGATTGAAAATGATTTCAAAAAAGTATCATCCAATTTACACTTATATAGGAAACATGGAAAATTTTCAACTACAAAAAAAAATCCATTAACACTTGAAAAATATTTACAAGAACTTTTGCACATAACAAAATTGCTGATAGATTATAATTTTTTGATCCAATTTGACTGATTTTACAATTTTAAAAAATAAAAAAATTTCAGAGCAAATTTTAGGAATAAAAAAGGTTAAAAATTGCAACAGACCGACATATCCCTTTCTAATGCGAAAATTCTCCGTATCTGCAGGCTGGTTATGAAGAGTAAACTTCTCTGATAATCGACGACTTAAAATTTTAGCATCTTTAACTGAAATATCTAACTTCAGATCTCGAATTTCATCCTCTAGTCGTTGACATTGATCCTAAAAATCCTAAAACGTGTTAATTGTTGAGCGCATTTAACAAATAGAAATTAAATCTATTACAATTTTTATTACAATTACAATTTTGATAAAATATGAAATTTTCATTAACCAGAAATTTACTTAATGTGTAATTCAAAAATGTTATATTAAAAAAAAAATAAAAATGCGGATATAAAGTTATATTTGTTATAGTTATATTTGAGAATGAATGCAAGTACAAACTTTGAGCTCATCTTTGCTTTCTAGCTCAGTTGTAAGCAATGCTCGAACCTCAAGCTCATCATTTAACATTTTTTCAGTGTCCTTTAAAGACTCGGCAGTAATCCTGGAAAGAATGAATACAAAAGATCCAAAGAAAATTTCCGTAGGCTGAAAAAAATAATAGAAAAGAAATTCGCAAAGAAAAATTAATTTTTAGAAATGAGAAATTATCATAAATGTCAGTCAAGTAACAGCAATTATTGAATAAATTCATAAGTAGAAATATTTGATTCAAAAAGTTATTGCAGGGCCCAATCAATGACGACTAACCTCAACTCCCTCTCAAGATCGTCATTTCGCTGTTCCAAAATTCTAACTTCTTTAATCAGACGTTCATTCTCGCTTTGTAGCCTGGTTAATTCATCACCCATTTTTCGTTCAATCCCGAATGATTCCACTTTAAGTCGGCTGGCTTCATTCTGTTTTTAGGACATTTATTATTAAATATTTTTTTCTCAATATGGAATAGACTAAAGACAAATAAGTTTCAATTGAATTAACGGGAAAAAAAACTAGATTTTTACCTTCAATTTATCTCGTTCTTGTATCAGTACTAAAATTTCATAATCCTTCCTTTTGATAATTTCACGTGCCTCATTCAATTCTTTATCCAGTTCAGCTTCAATTTGTTGACTATATGAGACGAAATCTCGCAAATCAGCTTTCGCTTCTTCTGCTCTTCAATCGCAAAATATTTTTAAGATATTAAAATATAAAACACTAAGTTTTCAATGAAATTAAAGGCAATATTTTTTCCATTTTCTTCTGTGAATTTCTCTAAATGAACCTTTGCCATAAGCACCATTCTCCATTAATCACAAGAGAGAGAGGAAATGGATGGCGGAACAAATCGATTTTCATATGTTCTAACCTCATTTTTAATAAAAATTAATAAAAATTTTATTTTAATAAAAATTTAATCAAAATACAGGGACCAAAGCCATATTGTTGATCCTTAGCAGAAGCAATAAGTGACATTCATTAGTGCCCTCCAGCTGATAATTTTGGATCAAATCGAAGCATTAAAGAGATGAGAAAATTATTTAATTATTTACAGTCAGGAAAAAAACTACTCTCTAAATGATTTTTTTTCTTTTTTTCAAAAATTTTCTTTTCAAAAATCCCAGAGATGCCCATCTATTTCTATAGCAACGTTTCTAACACTAAATGATTCCCTTATCCTAGCCGAGTCAACCAGAATGGTAAGTATCATCAGAAAAAATCAGGTAAAAAATAATCTGAAATAATAGAAAATATACTCATTTTTGTATTGTTCAACTTTGTCGCGGAAATAGTCTATCGAGTTTTCAGAATCCATGATAATATTCAAGTCTCAAAGAACCTTAAATATTTTCAGTCTTAACCTCAAGCACTTTGTTCATCCACAATTATTTTCGTATACAAAATATTTTACGCTAATTTTTATTCGCGCGAAAACAATGAGCCATCAAAGGCCCAGTATACATCCAATTATTTAGACATCTATAATCATAAGACCTTACAACCTTACTGTTTCTAACCAATCCTTTGTCTTTGACAGGCAAATCTCACATAACCATTGAGTATCAAATCAACCTTACCTCGTCCATTTAAAACGATTTAAAATCAATTTGTGAATTTAAATAATTGTTATAGATATAAAAAAAGAGAAAGAAGAGAAAAGTCTCGAACGTTTTAAACGTTTTCCCAAACGTACAGAAACCTTAAAATATTTTATTTGAAGAAAAATATTGTGAAATAAATGAAATAAATGAAAATACAAAAGGAAAAAGACCTGCCAATTGAAAGAAATTACCGCATATTTAATAGAATAATTTATTTTAAAGCAATCTTTATTTTGCCAAAATATCATTTAATCAAGCAATTTCCGTACTATATATCAGCGAAATGTCAACAGAACCGAAATGTCACTTCCAACATTTTTAACTTCGTTAGCTCCACTGATTACCAAGACTATTCAACCATTTGAAACATGGCCAGATCCACTCCTAACAGCAAGCCAAAAGGCCAGAAAAACTAGAACCACTAAACAAATTAGAAACGAAAACAATTCCTTCGAATCAGTCAAAAAATTGTGTGGTATCTAAACTTTTAAGTCTTATGACTTCATTTCATCAGTCCAAAACCACGTTTTTTTTTTAAATTTCCCATTAATCTAATTCTAAAATGCAAATAAAAAGTGATATACACATATATAACGAACACAATAAAAACAAAAATATAAAACTCAAAATAAAACAAGTGCGGATGCGAAAAAAATTTATAATTTTGATAAATTACTTGATATGACTTGGTATTTATTTAACGAAAAATGGAAGTAATTTTTATTAAATACTTGAAAAAAAAGAAAAATATCACAACAATTATGGTAATTTAAGAGAAACACTGTGAAAAAATAACAATCAAATCTGACAAAAAATTTAGAGAATTTCATTTAAATGAGCAATCTTCAAAAAACATCTAAACAAAGGAGAACCATTACTACCATAAAATCACTTTTAATTTAACTGTAAGGATAAAAATCGGCAGTAACTTTTAACCCAACTAGCAAACACAACTCTAAAATGAACAAATAACTTATGACTAATGAAACGCAAATTAAAATAATGGAAGACATTCAAAGTGATTAAATTACTAAATGAAAATATGATTAGGTTTTAAAGATATCGATAATGCTGCACTTATTCAATCAAGATCTAGAGTTCCGTCAAAACTTTGTAAAATTAGAAAATCACAGTTACGCACCATTGCATGTTACATAATGATTATGTTGGGTGACTCAGCAAACACAATAATAGCCCGTCTTTATGTTAGAACAAGAGCGTAAAAGTGAACGTAAAGATTACTTAATGGAAAATCAAAATTCAAAAATTATAAAAAATGGAAAACCAATGAAAAATTAACATTGTGAATCAATTCAGATCTGCACCAAATTCAGAAATTTATCTAGAATAATATCAAATTTACCAATCATCAAAAAGAAGTGAAATGACTACCGACAAGGCAAATTCTGTTTTAAATGCTGTAAATAATAACTTTCCGTAAAAAATATTTTCCTAAAGACCGAAAAAAAACTAAGAATTCCACGAAAAAATATTTACTAAACCCTTTTTAAACTTACTGAAACTAATTGATTTCTAAATCCAAGAAATTATCTCGTTTTTTTTCAATTCGAAAATATTCCTGTAATATATTTTTTATATAAAAATTTCAAAAATTTTAAATTCCAAAAAAATTTTGAGAAGACAATCAATATACATCGTAGTTCAGGAGCTTAGTATGAAAATATAGAGAAAAGTTAAATTAAAAAACTTCGAAATCTGTTTGGAGCCATAAAGCATCAAAATTTAAATATGGATTGATAAACGTGAAGATAAAATAAAGAATTACTTACAGAGTCGTGGTTAATTTAAAAATGAAACATGAATGATAACCAAAACTCGTGCAAAAAAAAGAACGGTCATGAGAACAGGATTAAATTTAAATGCAAACTAATGCACCTGAAGGAATAATTTTCCGGCCTAAGCAATACCAAAGCATTCAATATGCTAATGATAGCAAACATGGGAGAAACCATAGGCAGAAAATGAGCTGTATAAAAAATATCAGTAATCAGTAAATTTTAAATTAAAGTACATTTCCTCGAACGCTTCGGTTTCGGTGGCGGACAAAGCACGGCTCTAATCGCTTCATCAAACACTTGTTTCAGTCCTTTTTGAGATAAAGCGGAGCATTCTAAATATTTTACTGCGTCTGAAATGAAAGAAATAAAAGAATATTAGTTTATTTTTTGGAAAATAAAGGATAAATAAAAAATAAAACAATTATGGCATAAAAATTAAAATTCTTTGTTTAACGGTTACAAAAGAAAATCTCATAGGCTGCGATACACATATTTTCTTCCCAAGAAAAGTGTATTTAAATATCAAATGAAAGCTATGATCAAAAAATATAAGAAATACTATCATTATAAAAGTCACATTGTAATTAATTTCATAATCATTTATAGGGGAACCAAATCTATTTTTACCTATATTCCTACTTTTTTATGCCTTAAAAGGTGCCAGCAATCTATTTTATCATATCTTTAATCTAAAATCAAATCAAAAAGTTAATACATGCAAAAGAATGAAAAATAATTATTTTAAACATATCCATGGCAATGGTTTTAAAAAAATCAAAACTATATTAAAAGATGAAAGATGAAACAAGAATTAAGATCAGCTAAATAACAAACTTTGAGAAACAAATAAATTTATATGTAACTATGACGCTAACAATTGCACAATTACTCACTTATTTCTTTTGACATTGCTACACCTTGCAAATAACTGATAGGTGCTAAACGTCTATCCCGCAATTTTTCCACTGTTTCACTATCTTCCCTGAGATCCAGTTTAGTGCCAACCAAAATTATTGGAGCATTTGGACAATGGTGAGAGACTTCGGGATGCCACTTCGCACGTACGTTTTCGAAAGAAGATGGATTAACAAGTGAGAAACAAATCAGAAAAACATCCTAAAACATTGAATTTTTTGTAGAAATTTCACTAATGTAAAAGTGGAATAAAATGAAACGAATGAAGAGTATATTCTTGAAAATATCTTTTCTAAAAGAAATTAATTAGAATCCGTGAAAATCCAGAAAATAACTGAAGAACAGGGATTTCCAATGCCATTACAATAACAACTACAAAAAAAAAAATTACCGTTTGCGGATAACTAAGAGGACGTAACCGATCGTAGTCCTCTTGACCAGCAGTATCCCATAATCCAAGATTTATCGGTTTACCATCTACCATAACATTTGCTGAGTAGTTGTCGAATACCGTCGGAATATATTCGCCGGGAAATGCATTGGTTGTATAACTTATCAAAAGACAAGTTTTGCCGACGGCGCTGCAAGAAAGGAATGTTTTTTAAACAAACAATTAAGCATATATTTTGCATATATTTTGCCTATGAATAAATAAAAATGCAATGTTAACAATTAAAAAAATGAAAACATAACAAAATTGACCTTATTTTTTCCGCAGGACGAAAATTAAATGAAAAAATGCAAAAAAAAGACTTCACGAAAGACAAACCCGTCACCGACAACGACACATTTGATCGCCTGCATATCGCTAGTTAAAAGCGACCTAATATGCTACAAAACCCTGAAAATCAGGTTGTTAGAGTCGCAACTTGTAATTAGAACTTGGAAAAAGCGATAATAACCGAAACAACGGGGAATGTATTCGAACGCAGAGAGTAGGCGGAGTGAATGCTTAAAAAGCGGAAAAAGAGCGATTCGTTAAAAGTTCGACGAAAATATTGGGGAATCGGCGGCGCTTTTCTCCACCGCCCGGTTCGGTTGAACTCGGAATTTCAAATTTGAAACGCCGAAAAAATGGGATTTCAGTAACGGAAAAACCATTGCTTACGCTTTGCATAACGAAAGAGAAATTTTTTCAAAATAATAAAATAAGAAAAAAAATTTGAAGTAATTCAATTTAAAAGAAATTGCGTTCATTCTGAAGTGCATATGCTTACTATTTTCGCAAAATCCCACTTTTATAAATTTGATAAATTCAATAATTGGAACCACAACAAAGACCACAATACCCCGACGGATACTGGAAATAAATATACGAAAATACCGCCGCATGATTTAATAAATATGGCGAACTTGGGTAAAACAATCGTTTTAAGACCCTAATTTCAAGAAGAAACAACAATAACAGCAGACAACGGAATTCTCCTCTCCAACTCCTAAAATCCTGAAATCGCAACAAATTGTACTTGTGAAATAAATAGGGCCATTAAAAATGCGTTATATTGGAACGAATGTTTTACACTGGCAACTCTTTTTTGCAACATTTCTAGCTAGATTAGGTCCGCTGGATTGTTGGACCGGTCAACTTCTGTCAGGAAGCCACAAGTTCATTTGGCGACAGAAGTTTAGGTGAATCACCAGTATCACCTAGAAATAAGAAAATCAACCAATTTTGCAACAACGTTTCATCAAAAGATATCGACTTTTCTATGTAAAACATCCGTCGAGCTTAGTTTATAAACGATTTTGCAAATATGGATGTGCATTTGCATGTCTATGCATGTTAACTTTCGCACATAAATAAATTTTATAAAACTCGGAAAACCACATTCTAAAGCCGTCAGATTTAAAAAAAGAATTGCCACGTTTTAAACTAATTCTGAAGTATAGTTTAGATACATACATATGTTCACAAATGCCAAATGCTGAGAAACAGAAAAAAGATTGCTATTCAGGGAGAGAACGGAACTGCGCATATTATCATTTCTTATCATTTCTTTTTTGAAGTCCTCCAAGAAATTTCCTTATCTTTACATTTTCATCGATGCAAAAAAATGTGAAATTATGAATGAAACAAATGCAGAAATTAATAAAGTGTCATAATTAATTAAGTCTGAGAAAAATTTTTCAATTATTTATTACACCATTACAATTTCAAACAGTTTATACGTAACTAACCAATTACTTAAAATTTTTCTAGCGAGGTGTGGCTGTGCGTATGGAAAAACTCCTCTTCATCCAATTCCTCGAAACCTACCAAGTTCCATCACAGTCCGTTCCAATCCCTCTTAAATGGCCTCTATATCATCTTCCAATCCCTCTTAAATGGCCTATATATCATCTTCTACATCCCTCTTAAATGACCTCTATATCATCTTCTACATCCCTCTTAAATGGCCTCTATATCATCTTCTATATCCCTATCCCCAAATTGATTTTCTCCAATGCCTCTTAGATCCAGCCATTCTTTCTTCCTTTTAACCCTTCAAGCCTTTCCATACTTCCATAACAATTTTCAATTGTTTTCCTTAATATAAGGTACAGTTTTGAACTTCATTTTCAATTTTATCGCCTACTGATTTTCAGTATTCGATTGCTCAAATGAAATAATTTCGATCATGAAACAATCCTACTTTTACAGATATTACAATGATAAGAGAATATAAAACCACAGGACAGTTCAAGTAAGTCGGCACCAGCTGATCTTAAAAAAGAACATAGTGCGGTTTCCTTAAAGATAACTATAAGTTAGAAAAATTTTTTCCCGATGTTTCCCGAAGTGAACTATGGCAACTTAACGCATCTTTACACTGATGAGATATAACAAGTTGCAATGTTTACAAGAGTTACATGGGTTATATAGGATTAGAGATGAAGGTTAATGAGTCGAATAATCGAAATGCTGGCGGATAATACTGAGGAATGAATGAATGGAAAGAATTGAAGAAATTTCGATGAATTTGGAGGATTACGCACAACATAGCAAATATTATATAGAATAATTATTTATTACAATAAATAAATAAATAATAAATAAATAACAAAAATAAAGCTTAAGCAAGAGTAACATACGACACAACACGCAAAAATGGAGTTGCGAAATCTAACTGCATCAATCAGTACAGTTAAAATAAATATAGCTACTATGTTTAACGAATTCTACTATAATTAATCATCGAATCGAGAAACTACCAGCCAAGCCAAGGTAACTGATGGACCCACAAATTCAAAAAATTCGAGAAAACTCAAATATCACTTCTTCAACGCTGCCTTGGATTGCATGAAGCCTTCTTTGACTGATTAAGAAAATTAACAACGTCGTAAATGAACTGAATTATGATTGAATAAATAGTATCGTTACGGCTCGAAGGCTTGCAAATATTGTAATGCACCTAAAAAAATGTTGAGTTGAAAAATTTATCAGTGAAGATGATCCCTTGTTATTGAATATATAATTTTGCACAAAAGCATATGTCCAATGTTCAAATGGCCAATGGCCAAAGATTCTATTACCTTTTTTCTATTCCTTCTCTAAATTATCAGCTCATACAAAAGGTATAATTTCAAAAGACAAAAAACATTTAAGGAAAGTTTTTTGTAAACAATGAAAAGTGCTAATTTAAATTCCACATGTTGGAAAAAGAATGTCAATAAAATGAAAAACCAATAAATAAGATTAAATTTTTGAAAAATAATTAATAATTAATAAAAATAATTAAAACATGTTTTTCACTATTTGATTAAATGATTAAAATTGATTGCTTACATCTTTAATGTGGTAAATAGGACCATATTCAAAATAAGCACTTTCAACTGGTACAAGAAATTCTTTTTGTCGAAAAGGAAGAGGAACTTTCTCCAGCTCAGCCACAGAACAAATCACCGGAATTTCTTCAGCAATATTCAGGAAATCTCTATGCAACTATAAACATAGCTTTCATGTTGCCCTGCGCTTCCAAAATTAAGTGAATAAACTAATTAGAATAAAATATTTATAAAACAATAAGGATAAAATAAGGGATAATTAACAATTTTTCCAGCTTCTGAAGATAGACCTCTCTAACAAGAATATCGAACAAAGTGTATGATGTAGTAAATTCATTAATAAATAATTATATCATTGCAATATATTACATCTTTGTTAATCTCGTTCTGGTGATGAAGAATACGAAGATCGTTTGTAGGACGCAAAGCAAAGGATGCATAATTTGCTACTGGGCTACCTCGGTGAGGAGTAGCTAAAAACAATATACCGATTGTATTTTCTCTTAAGCGTTCATCATCCAACATTATACGTTTTGCTAGAAGACCGCCTTAAAAAATGACAATATAAAACAAAAGAATACATTCTCTCTTATTGTTCTTCCCATTATTGCTTATGCTAGCCCCATTGGTTATTGATAATAAGGCATTTCCAAGCCGCTGGGCCAAATGCCATATCTGCAAATGTCAGAAGCCACTCCTTTTCCATCATTCCAAGTCGATATATCACTGGGGCGTCTGTATTCAAAATCTCTCCTGACTGTATCAGTCCAAATCTTTCTTATTTCGTTCTACTTGTCATAGAGGCCAATAAGTAATAAGCATAAGTTCCTGCGATGGCCTAACGAGAAAAAACGACTCTCCATTGTTAATGGAAATATCATTGAATGAAGGTGGATGCAGTTGTGAGATTTTTTCCGCTCGATGCAAAATGTGTTTTAGACAAGAGTGGTCAATGTTAAATAGCTTTCTTAATATCTTAATATTTTAACTTAATATTTCATTCATACTGGCCATGTTTCGCAACCAGGTAAATGCGAATTTTTAATTTATGATGATGATTTAACGGCAATTTCATAGCTCAACGAACGCATTTCTAGCAAATTTCTTTTGCTTACTCCTTTGGTTAAAAAATTCATTAGCATTAGTTATATCACCGTAATTTTCATTTTCCATTTCAAAAACAAATTAATAAAGTGGCATATGTTTCTTAAGCAACTGCCACTAACCAAATCAACCACTCGTTAAATTTCACATGATGAAACAACATAATAGCATGAAAATAGGCATATCATGGCAGTATAAGAATTCCTTTTGTCTCTCTTTTGCCAAATGGACTCATGGTACCAGCATGTACCCAGAATACCCAGAACAAACTGGATTCAGACCGGGATCATCTACGATTATAGGGATGCAATACTGCTCAAGCAAAATATCTTCACTTATTGTACTGCTTTTTTCTTTTCTTCTTTTGCTGTTTTCGATCCAATTAATAGGATGGCGTTCCGGATGACAATGGAATGAGACAGTATGTCAAATAAGACCTAGCTCATTAAAGCATTTTGCCATCAACACTAATCTATGTATATGGAGAATCAAAATCGATTATAGACATGGTTTGTCGACACTCAAGATGTATTATAAAGCACTACAAATCTTGAATCTGTTATCGTTACGAAGTATGGCAGATATCGTATATTCATAAGTGAAGCAAAAGTTGGTCCGGATAAATATAAATAAAACAAAATCTTCTCGTCTTATAGACGTTAGTAAAATATCTGTATTTATTGATCATGGATGACAAACTCAAATATATTAGATTTATTCTTATACTAAATGGCAAAAAAAGAAATTGCAATTGCAGCTAAAAACGCTTTCTTCCACCTTGTTCTTTGTTTTTGCGAAATGAAGTCACTGAAATACAAAGTCAAATAGAAATTAGATGCAATGCGCAAATCCTTGCCATATGGCTGGTGTCAGGAATTTATTATTCCTTGATCATTCTTGCCTAAGTTTAATCCCACGTGCTCGCCAAGTCTCACTTAGATGCGCCCACCTTCACTCGAATATCATCTGCATTAAAAACATCATCACGCCTTTTATCGCTTAGACTCCCCAACATGAAGTATCATATCTTGCTACTTGCTAAATCCTACAATAGGTGGCGTCAAAAGGAGTGATACGACCAGGAGAGACTTTCAATGCATTGATGTCACAGTGATGTATGTGTAGGGTTAGAAGAACGGAACTGACGAAAACGTCTTAATCTTTAGCCAACTGGACAAGCTTAACCATTAATGGTGCAAGTTGCAAGAAGTATAATAAATATTAAAGTATAATGTAAAGTAGAAAATAAACATGTCTGCCACAACAGATAAGATTTTTAAAATTTTGCAATCTCAGTGAAACAATAACAAAAGTAAAAATATAACAGCAATGGAAATAAAAAATTCATCCACAAAGTCGAATAAATTAAAAAAACATCTCACCCATACTATGACAAATAAACATTAGAGGGCGATCGCCAACACCTGCAGATCGTAACTGCTTGGAGATTCTTTGGGACCGCACAGCCAAGGTTTCAGTTACACCAGCAAAATGCACTAATGAAGTAGTATAATCAATAGCCAAAATACGGCATGGTGCATTAATATCTTTGGGCAGCCAATCCTATAAGAAGCATTAATAAGAAATAATAAAGGGTAGACAGTTCAATGATTTTTCCCTCCGATTTCGGTTTCTATTCTCGATTTTATTCTTAGCAACAGTAAACCTTTTAAAAGTCCGAGTACTTCTGGCGACCCACTTATATGAAGAACAATTGATCGTCTGGAAAATCTGCAGAACAAAAAGTCTAACGAGTAAAATGCTCTTCCTTCTTTTCTTAGAAAAAGAAAAACAATTTTCATAAAAACATAATTTCTTAGAAAAAGAAAACATAATCTGGTACCAAAATGCCACACTTTACTTTTAATACCAGGTTTACTTCCCTTGAAGCATTTAATCTACATTATCAGGCTTCAATCGAACTAACTACCAAGAAACACTTGAATATAAGCAAACACGAGAAGGAAAAATCACTCTTGGCCAACACAACGTTTGTTCTGTTTCATCAATGAAATTTTTTTCCCGCCATGTACGAAAAACACTTCCTTTAAGGCCATGAATAAATACAATATCCACAAGTTGGGCATTATCTGACCGATAAAGTTCATAAATATTCGTTCCAAAACGTTGGCGAGTAGAATCGAATGTACTTATTGCATTCATGCAAATCTAAAATTGTAATCTTACACATGAAGATCAGAGTATGATGATATGACTAAGCAAACCTTTTCCGCAAGAAGACTTTCATCCAATTTAGTTGAAACCGCCAATGTAGCAAGCTTCGGCAACCATTCTAGAAATCACTAAATTGAATAAAATTGAATGAAATAAACGAAATAAACCAGCTATAATCAAATTCAAAGAAACTGAAATACTGTAACATAAACATCAATATATCAATAGTCATTAAATATCAATAGTCATTAAATATCAATAGTCATTTCTGGTTGAAAAAGTATAGATGTAAATATCAATAGTCATTTCTGGTTGAAAAAGTATAGATGAGCCATCAGCATCATCAAAAATTTTTAGTGACCGTAAGAAATATTCACACTAAAAATTCTCTTTTTTACTTGCAAGGTTTTATTTGGTTTGAACTGTATCAGTTATTAAGATTCATCTTCAGTGCTTCTTATTCCTCTTCTAAAAGCTCTTAAGCTCTTGATTGGTCCACGTCACTTTTGAAGCCACCCACCACAGGATTTAGCAAGTAAAGAAATATGTTAAATTCTTGTGGTGGGCGAAGAACATGTCCTAATTAGCGAGAGTGACGGTCTATGATGGTACTGTTAATGGAAATAGTTTTTGAATGAAGATGGATGCGACGTAAAATGTACCTAAGACATGAGCAGTCAAAGGCAGATAACTTCTTAATATCCTCCACTATCACTGGTCATGTCTCGGAACCACTTGGCAAGATAAAACAACTATATAGAATTCTACAATATCAACTACATTCCGTTTTTGAACATATGAACTTTCATTTTTACGATGATTTCGGGGACGACTCCATAAAGGCAAATGTAACGCATTTCTAGTTACTATTACTTGGGTTGTAATTTCGTCTTTCGCTTAGCCGTTTGGGGTTCTGGGATTAGAGTGGATCTGAGATAAAATCTGGCACTTCCTCAACCAAAGTTAAAATTAGATATTTCGTCAGCTTCTGGTGAGACGAAAAGACTCGGTTTATTTACATTGGTCCAGAATTCGATTTTCATTGCAGTTGCTTAATTTGCATTAGCATTTCGTCGTAACTGTTAGTAAAAAGAACTAAATCATCAGTGTATTTATGATTTGCTCCGGACTGATGTGTATAATTCTTGAATGCTGACGAGTGATGTCTATTATTTAATATATTGCATAGAATATTGTAAGGAAGCAGCCTTAACGGACTTATTCTGTCAGTTTCCAATACACAGACCTGCGCCCACTTACGTTGATAAAATGTCTTTATGAGTCGAATGATCCTCTGTGAAACACCGACGCTTTCTATCATTCTCAAAAGCCCCGTTCTATAAGTGAATCGAAGGCAGCAGCAAAGTCGATGAAACATGTGACAGTGGGTGGCAAATATTTGAAGCGATGTTTCAACACCCTTCTTAACGTTAATATTTGGTCAACACAACCAACCCCCGGCTTGAATCCATTGATTAGGATGCATCCTGCTATTGCATACTGTCATAAATCTGTTGAGTAAAAGGGAAGCAAAAATTTCCGCTGAGACTAGTAGGCTAATTCCTCGATAACTGACATAGTATATCCTGTCATCTTTTCTGGGAATTGGGAGCAGAATTGTTTTGCTCCAGTCATCTGGTAATATTTCTTTCTTGCATACCAGAAAATGCATTTGTTAAAGGTGCATTACGACATTACGAAGGACAACATTTGAAGAGTTCGGTTCGAAGAAAATCTCCTAGAGTCTTATTGGCCTTAAGCTTATGGATAACAGAGATTATTTCTTTTTCTATTGGCGGTTCGCAATTGTACTGTCGCCGAATGGCGAAGATAATTATATAATAAAGTGGATCATACGCGTCTTAGAAAGATCACTGGATATTTACGAAAGATTAATCAAAGAGATTAAAAAATATCTCAAAATTATGGCAGAACATCTCGACAATGAGAGGTACAATGGAGATATCTTTTATCTTTGGAAATCCAAGGATAAACAAACTTTCCTCCGCCTATCCCAAAACAAATATAAGCTTCCGAGAGAGCATTTTAGCCATTGTTGGGTTCTCGTCGGGGGAAATGGAGAAAGGGATGGGAAATGGTCTGGGGAATGGCTTGGGATATGATTTGGCATCGAGAATACGTTGGGTAGGGACATCGACATTCGCATCGACGTCGGCGTTTTCCCTGTGTGCCTCTACCGAATGCTTCCCCCACTCCCATTAGATTTACCATACGGGTACATATATGCCGCGCCATTCGTGATTCGTTAATAATTTTACTTGTAATTTTTGTGCATATTATTTTATACATATTATGTATATTAATAAATGGTTAATTACCCAAGTTTGAGGATGAACATTCGCAGCGAGATAATTATAATGAAAACGCTGACCGGAGAATTTATAATATTGTTGATAGAATCTGATTGATTATCCAGGGATGGGTGTTGGTTATCCAGGGATTGAGTAGATGTTTCTACCAATGCCGGAAGCAAGTATTATTAGCAAAATTTCATGCTCCACGGCAAAGTGAAGGCATTCGCCTATTGGTGCACCAGGCCCATTGCCATATTTATTCATTGCCGAGTTTACCACGACACCTAAACACAAATTCCAGTTCCAATCTTCCTCGATTATAACAATATTATTTTTTGGTAAAGATATAATTAGCAGTTAAGTTCCGTTAAGTTTCGTTTTATGGGATTATCTTTATCAGGGCCATCTGCACAGAATGTTGAAGCATTTATACTAATGACAAATACTGCAGAACTTTCATTCAAAGCGAGCATAAGTAATACGGTTGCTTACCGGTTTCCACTCAATCAAAGCGGAATGGGCCTTTTCAGATAGAAAATCGCTACGCCATTCTGCTCTGAGTTATCCAAAGTACTACAGTGATATAACCAGCACTTCTGCTCCGAGCTAGGATTAATAATTATTCGAGACTCGAAGTGAGGAGAACGAATCTCCGACAAGCAGGCAATATACACACAATATAAACGATATTAAAAAAGAGTGTCAACAATAATCGCTTGCCTTGCAACATCCATAAGCATTTTGATGTTCCACGCTGACACGGCTAATACCTCACCGAGTGTGTAGAGAATCACTGTCTTTAATAGATTTCGAGTAATTGTCCTGGTCAGCAAATTTTATTAATGAATCTGGGGATCGTTTTATGGTCGGATTGCATACTTATCCCAGTATCACTGGGTTGGGAATGCCATGCATTTCGGAGGATATTTCAAGAACATCTGATACTTTCACCATAGAGTCACTTGGTAATAGAGTTACACGTGGTTATTAGCCACCCAAATTGTTAATATAACAGGTTTATTCCTATCGAAGATAAGCATAATATTATTTCATAATATTTTGTATAATAAGGTGGTAGAAAAATATAAAAAAAGAAGAAAAAAATTTTGAAATGCCTAAACGAAACAATAATCAATTATCAATCCACAACATCTGATAATAATATTTTCTATATTAGTAGAGCAACTGGAAGAACCGATCGCTCACTAATTATAAAAACCAATTTATTCCCCAATGCAATCAGATGCAAAAGATAGAGATTACCTAAACCAGTTTATAAGACCAATATTCTGTTCTATAATTTCTTCATTAAAGGCATAAACTGTGGGATAAAATTATGTTATTTTTCCTCCACATATCTCTATAATTATCCAAGCATTATCCCAGATATTACCTAAAGTCGCAACATTAATCTAATGATAAAAATAGCATTGCTTTTTATATTCGATATTTTTATTTTCTAGTTATTTTATTTTCGATTTATTCCGGATTATACTGGCGATTTACGTATTTCTATCAAAGATTGACTCCTTAGCTAAAATTTGCCTGGTCCAACAAGCCAGCAAAGCCAGCTTAGCCAGCAATAGTGAGATTTCTTAAAAAAATTTCGATTTATTGCAATTAATATCAATATCATAGCGTTGTCCTGCTTCATTTTTTCTTTATTTATAAAAGAATTTAAGTAAAACCCAAACACAATCAAAAAAACAATGTATTCTTGAAAATTTTTTTGTAGTCAAAGACTAGCAAGTAGTGCGTACTTACCAGAATTTGCAATTGCCATGGCACAATTCTTGTTTTGAACAGCGATATTGGAAAGTATTTTTAAGCAGTTAATAAATATATTACGATGGGTCTCCTCATAAAGATTACATAAATCCATCAATAATGATAAGACCTTTTGCCCAATTAATTCTTCACCATATCCATTCTAAAACCAGTAACTATCATTTTGATTATTATTAGGTTCAAATGAAAATATGTTCAAAATTCGCTTCGAGGCAATGTTAGAGGCAACAACTCCTGTGTTCGATAAAAATAAGCGTGCCATTTGAAAAAATTAGAGTGAAGATGGAGATCCACCTGTTCTTTCTACCACCAATTCTCTCTTTGCAAAAACTTCTAATCGTACTAACAGTCAGTTGAACAAGCCTGACCAGAAATTATAAGTGCTAACCATTCACTCATTTCAACTTCTAATATAATTTTTGGTTTGACTGGCTTTACTGATTACCAATACAAAAAATATCTCTGAAAGTAAAAATTCAAAATGAATAAAATAAATTTGGCTCAAAAATTTACCTCAATAATAGTGTTTAAAGCAATTAGCAAACTATTTAATCGAACATCCTGCGATGTTCGTCGACTGAATTCTTCTTCACAATTCAGATCATTTTCATCACAAAAATGGGTTAAGGACCAACGAACTTTTTCACGCCATTCATTGTTACAATCAAGCTACAATGAGAAAAATGTTTTCATATTTCATTCCATTTCTAATTCGACTTCTGATTCATAATTTTATGAAATAAGTTAGAAGTTAAAATTAGAAGGAAAATGAGGAGATATAAACAAGATAAAGAAGATATTTTACCATTTTCAAAGCCTTTTCCAATGAAGAGGGTGACTTTTCAACAATATTTTTTTTTGGATCCAGCTTCGAAGCGAAGTTATAGATCCCTTTTAAGACTAATTTAAATTTTAATTCCGAATCGAATTCATCAAATGGCTGATTGAGATGAAAATCTGGAAAAATTTTGAGATTCTGAGAATAAATTCAAACAAAATTCCACAGTTCTCGAAAATATTTGCAATAACGTAATGAAATAAGAAAAAACTGGTAAATTCTGCAAAAAATTTTCTGAAAATATCGTAGGAACTGAAAAAAAAAATTTAAAACTTTTCTCATATTTCAATTCATTTTGTGAGCCATTATCTTCTTTCAACAAAGCATTGCTGGAATTTCGCTCAATTTTCGACTGCTTCCGACATTTCCACGAACTGAACAAACTCCTAAAAAGATGAACAAAGAATAAGCAAAATAAAATTATTAGAGAAGAATTTAAAATGGTGAAATCTAACAAAATTTTTTATAGAAAAGCTTAGCAACTGCTTAAAAGAAACAACGATAAATCTAGAATTTGGAATTCACCAAAAATTTGCGCTTTAGCTAAATCAGTAAGAACTGAAGAAAAATCTTTTAAAGCAAAAAGCAAAACGTCAAAGAAAGAAAGAAGAAAAAAGGAAAAAAAAACAAATTTTTTAAATAAATATATGAATTTGACCTTTACTTTTTATATGTTATAATAAGCGAATTTGACTTTTTTTTGATCAAAAATAAATTTAATTAAATAATTTTAAAATCAAAATTTTTTTCTTATTTATTCAGATAATTAGGAAAATGTAAAGAAATGCTGCCTCTGTTTTATCACTTTTGATAAATCGCAGTTTTGAACGGTGAATATTGGTGCAAAATGGAAAAAAACCTTAAAAATTTACCCAATAAGAATTGGTTCAGCAACTTTGCGCATCATATCTTAAAGTACAAGAAAAATGCATAAATTTCCAACTCAATTTTTGACAACGAATAGCCTGAAAACAATCAAGCAAAAAATTTCTCTCACCGAAAAAAATTTTGAACGAGAAATTCAATAAAGAAAGTGTGAATTTCTCCATTAAATGAAAACCAAGGCTAACCGTTTCTGAATTCCAACAAAAATTAAATCAAATATTGAAAATTACAGCAAAATTTATTTAACTGATGCGGAGTCATAAGATGAAAATTTTCACATACATGAGGAAATATTTAATTCATCAGTGGCTGAGGAAGCGCTGAATTTTGAACATGACAAGTCTGCCTAACGCCTCTGAAATTTTTGCTTTTTCCGTTTTCCTTATTCCTTTATTTTTCTAAATTCCTTTCTGCTACAAATTCCTCATAGTGCAAGAAAGAATGACGTGCTCTAAGCAGGCTGGGTTTAAACCGGGTTCTGACCTAAACATCGCGCCAAGTATCAGTAACCTACTCGGGAATTCCGATGTAGTTTTAAAGCTAGATTTGCTTAGGCGAAAGCAGGATCCGAAGAACCTTTGCCTCTCAACACGATAACCTACTGCCCACTCGGTAATACTGCCTCCATCCACCGTTAGCATCAACAACATCATCACATACGGCAGCTTACGTTAGTATTCTTCTTAGTCTTCGGCTCATGCAGGAAGGATAAATCTCAAACCTTTTCATGGACGGCAAAACGCGAACAGTTCCAATTAAGAGATGTACTGCTACTGGGCGAACGCAATATTTGGAAATTTAGACCAAAATTACATAGCAGAAAGAAATTAAAGGTTTGGCATGGAAAAATATGGTGAAAAGAGCCGCCATAAGGAAAGGAGAAAGTGCAGCACGCTTTGTGGTGCCCCTCAGAAGCCTCTCGGCTCGCCCAATAGCTACTTTCGCATCGCTAAGATCTTCGCCACTCCTCCAGCTTCGAGCTCGCAGTACACTTCGATATTCCCTCTGCCCGCCAAGCCGCTTTTTGCCTTCGCATGAAATTAATAATGGATTAAGGGAGAAGTAAAAACTTCCGAGAGTGCGGTGATTATCAGCGGTGCATTTCTGGGAAAATTCTGCAAAAATTTGTTTTCGTGAATACCGAATGGTTCAAACGTTGCGCGTCGACATTTCACGACAAACAATATCGACTGAAATTTTCAAAGTTTTGACAAAAAAGAACAAAAGAGAAATTTTGAAAAATTTCATCGCCTAATAAATCATTTTTAAACCAATTGTCTACAATAATTTTTTCAAAGAGAACAAAATAAATGACATACAGCAGACGCCGACTTTTAGCAATTCAATATGTTTCCCATTGATATGGGAATGGTGATAACTGATAATGGTGTGCCTGCAATTGTTTATCAGTTTTTTACATGAAGCATTGGAATTGTAAATAGATTGGATAGAAAAATGAAACAATGCAATTAGCTGAATATTTGTACATTTGAATGGTTCGATTAATTTTCATAAAAGTTATTTGGTTCTCATACAAATCTTTGGTTCGGCTGGTTTCTACTGGTTATAAAGGTGAGGTAGCTTCGGCATGGATTCACTGGGGGGTTAGGAGCACCCCCTGTGCCTGCCTTCTTCTAAAAACTCTACATCCATTATTGGTTAAGTTTGCTGCGCTGGCTATAAGGACAAGGCGTTTCCAAGCTACTCGATCTGATGCTATCTTTGATAGATAGTAATAGAATCCATTCTTTTTTCCACCGTCTAAATCGATATGTCACTGACCCATCTATATGTTCAAAGTTCTTCCTGACTGTATCAGTCCAAGTCTTGACGGTTCTCCTCGCTTTTGACGCCATCTTCGTGGGGTTAACAAATAAGGAAATACGTCAACCCCTATATCAAGCCCTAAGGTGAGTGATGAAGTACATGCCGCAATCAGCGAGGACGACACTCTGTGATTTGATGATACTATTAATGCAGGTGGTATTTGAGTGGTATCACGTGTTTATCCGCCCAGCGAACTCAGTAAAATATATCCTAGACATGAGTGGTCAGGGTAGATAACTTCTTAATGCTCTCCACTCTTAACCATGTCTCGCAGCCATATAACAAGATCGAGCGAATTGCCTTTCTTTTTGATGATGATTTCACGATATCTCCATAATGGTTTGGCAACAGGAGGAATTATTTCTGGCCGTTATCTTAGTTATAATTTCGTCTTTCGCTTGGCCGTTTGGGATTAGAGGCGATGAATTAATAAAAATAGGTATTTTATTAGCTTCAGGTACATAAGACGAAAAGATTTCCCTTTTATTTATATTATTATTATTTACATTATTTATATGAGTCCGACTTTCGCTGTAATTGCTGGTAGATTGTTTAACATTATTTGCATCTCGTCATAATTGCCAGCAAAAAGGATCACATCAGGATTGCAATATCTATATCAGCGTACTCAATATTTATAATATTATGCTCTGGACTGATTTATACGATTCTTGAATGCCAACAAATAATGTCTATTATTTAATCTGTTGTATAGTTGAATATTGTGGTGGAAAGGTAGCAACCTTAACGGACATCAGTTCTTATTTCTAAGAAGTCCATCAGTTCCCAATACACAGACCTGCTCCAACTTACGTCTTTATGAGTCGAATGATCCTCTGTGGAACACCGACGCTTTCTATCATTCTCCAAAGCCCCTTTTTGTCAATTGAATCCGCAAAGTCGATAAAATACGTGATAAAAATAGGTGGGTTGTAAATATTTGAAGCGATGTTCCAACATCCTTCTTAATATGAATATCTGGTCAACACAACCGCGTCTTGGCCTGAATCCAGCTTGATTATGGCGTATCTTACGTATCTGTACTACCCGTAGATGTCCGTATTGCCATAAGTCTATTGAGGGAAGCAAAAATTTTCATCCAATAGGATGATTACTATCTCAGGAATTGGGAATAGAATTGCTTTGATCCAGTCATCTAGCATTATTTCTTTTTTCCATATCATAAAATAGGCTGTTATCCAAAAGGCATTATGATGGACAACACTTGAAGAATTCACCTCGAAAACCATTCTCTCTAGGAGTTTTATCTAAGCTTTTGGATAACAGAGATTATTTATTATTCTATTATCGTTTCGCAGTTGCAATTGTATGGCTTGACGAGCGAATTAGAAATAGATGAAGCATCTTGATTAAGTTTGGCAATTTCCATTTTATGAGGAGTTCTTAAAAGTCTCAAAATGCGCATCATTCTATCTCGTATTAATTCCAGAGTTATAGTTGTTTTATGAAGAAGGCGGAATAGTTTCCTATTATCGCCTAATTGAGCCACCGTCTCCATTTTCAAGACCATGTCGCTCCAATAGTGATTTCTCTCCACCGTGCTGCTTTAGTTGCAATTCTTTGAAGCATTTGGAAGTCAAGACCTCCTCGTGCTTTGGCAGCGTTTTCAAATAGTTAGACAATTGTTTCCAATACCCAACCCAACTAGCGTACCTTCTACTAGTATGTCCTAACGTTGAAATGGCTGACGTCCCTTTAGTTAGGACCAGTATTCGTATGCCGTTTCACAAAAGTATTTACGCCATTGAAGTGCTTCAATAATTCGGTTTGAAATCTGTTTACTCCGAATTTTTTAGTTTAGTTTAGTCTTTAGTTTAATTTAGTTGAAAGATATGGCGCTGCTTCTTGCAAATTGTCAATTGCCCTGATCTTGACTCGGTCCATAACATGATCAAATCCATGAAGATTGCCTATCTTAGCGCCGCGATAGGAAACGATTATCGGAACTCTTCCAATGACGATTGATTAAAATATAATCAGTCCGGTTGGTGTGTTGGTTATTCGGAAAATTCGACCTGACTGGATGTTTTTATGTTGCCAGAAGCAAGTATTAATTGTCGCGAAATGAGGTATTTTTTTTAAATTTATTATTACTGGTGACCCGTCTAAGGAAAACTTTCATTAACTTAATCGATTTTTTATTCCATTTCAGAAGTCAATAAAAAATAAAGGTCAATTAAGGAAATCAGACCTTTTCACCACAGAGTCCTTGATAGTCGAAAATTATTTTATCTTCGTAAAGCATCCATAACTGAGGAGATGGTCAATGAAATGGCCTAAGGAAGTGGTGCGTCTGCTAGGGCTCTCAAAGATTAATCTTACACAAATGCAATTTAAGCGTAATGGAGGTGCGCCATCTATCATTGGATTTTAGTAAAAACACTCTAAGAATCATATGATTACAACAGAGCAAGAAATAGTCTTGTTCATTCAAAACTTGTGGTTCTCATGCTAAAGCTTTCAAAAATTATCCTTTGCAATTGATCTTCAAAGGACCATTTGAAAAAAAATAATATCATACAACTGGAATAAAGTAACCATGTTCCTAATTCCGAGAAAATATAGTAGCATTTATTGTGAAAATTATTGAGGAACCAGTATCAGATATCTCTAATAGATTTTTCACCTCATTTGCGTTGGTAGAGAGCAGAGCGCCCCCTAATCGAGCTGATTTGCACCAAGATGTAAGTGCGCTGACCAAGCCCAACATCACTTGTTTTATTGATTTTCTCGCTTTTTGCCTTATTAGATAATACTATCTGGATGCTCTGGATGGAGAATCATGCAATGCGAATGCAAGAGAAAGTAGTACGACTTAAGAAAACATTTTATCAGCATGTCAAAACAAATATAAATGAAACTTGATACACTGAAACAAAAACTTAATGTTCAACTGTTAAATTGGATTATGGACATTGGTTGTGGGCGCATAAGAGATACGCAGGTCCAAAATATTGTCATAGGTCATGGGAATGGTATACTTATTTTTGTCGTTTGTTATGAAGAATCCTATGGACATGCAAAATTAAACCTTGGCATATCCTGATATTTCTTAAAATTCATTCCCTTATCCACCTTTTCTACCTTTGTATTCCGTTGCATTTCATCAAAATTTTTACATTCCCTTATAACTTTTTAAATGCACCATAATAGCCAAATCCCTTTCATTCTCCA